GTTACATTGTAGCAAAGTGTAATTTCTTCAGTGTTGTCACATTAAAAAACAAAATATTTACAAAAATGTGAGGGGGTGTACTCACTTCTGTGAGATACTGTAGATCTAATTACATTGTCACTCATTGTGCTGTGTTTATGGAAGAGCCACACCGTCACCTGCAAACCACCACTGTCTCTCCTCTTTTCCGTAACACAGGCAGGGAAGGTGTTTTATAGATCACTCAGAAAACTTGCTAACTGATAATGGTACAGCACAAGCAAAGGAAGTGGCTAGCTCAATAGATTTCTTCTACTGTCACCTACAAACCACCACTTTCTCTCCTCTCTTCCATAACACAGTTGGGGAAGGTGTTTTATAGTTCACTCAGAAAACTTGCTAACTGAGTACGGTACAGCACAAGCAAAGGAAGTGGTTAGCTTAAAAGATTTATGGCAGGATCAACTGATTTTTTTTTTCCTTCCCAAAATTGAAAAGATCTAACAAAACACTTTCAATGGTATATATTTAAAGCAGAAGTTAATCGGTTACTTTCAAGGTATGACTCTGGGGATTACTGGCACAGTTGTCAGTCTGTCACTTGGACGATTAGGGGCACACAACAGATTCCTGTGCCAAGAATTGCAGATTTGTGCAGCTGAGACTACAGCTATGCCTGGGAAGCCTGTACGAAGCACTGACAAGCGCCTTGGTTGTTTGCATGTATCTGCATATCCAGTGTTTATCTGAGGTTAGGGGTGGATGAAGGACTTTGGGTGCAGAAAATTGTGCCCGGGGTTGCTCATGTGTCCCTAACTACAGGTAAACTACTGGATGTGCAGATACATGTGGACAGCCGTGGCTCCTGTCAGCCTGTAACTGGTCTGTATAGGCTTCCTGGCTGCAACTATACGCTTACATCTGTGATCCCAACCTCAAGAACCTACTGATTCTTTCTGCAGGAATCCACTGTATGCCCCTAATTACCCGTGTGATTGTAGCTTTACAGATCAAAGGGGAGCCAATAAGAGTTCGTTGATCGGATCTGCTCACATTTTGAGGGTATTCGCATTACAGCCAAGGGAGGGGGAGGGGGATGCAGTTTTCAGGGTCAAAACAGGGAGTCAGGAGGGGATAACATGTCAACTCCATGGATCTGAACAAGCCCCTTAAGCCTGCTTGACTGAATGTAGGTGATAAACAGGGCAGTAGTTATCATGGGCAAAGCATTTAATTTAAGTTTTCATTGATAGACTGACTTTAAAGTTTGCCTACATGCAAAGCAATGATGATAGCAATAGATCTAGTATTCCTACTGTTTGTGGCAGTATACATACATTACTTATTGCTTTACTGATTGGTGCCTTGCTTGCTTATTACACAGCCTAGTGTAAGCGCAAGATGATTTAATTGCTTTTTTTTTTAAATTCCCAGTTTGGCGCCTAATTACTTGCTTCACCGTTTAAAAAAAAAAAAAAAGAAAAAAAACAGGATGCAGCCTGCGGTATAAAATATAGGTATGCTTGTATTGGATCTCAAAGAACTGTTTATCCCAGGTGTACAGTTTTTGCTTCAGGTCCTAAAAGATTTAGCCAAGTCAGCAATTTACATTTTTTAATATCTATTTTCTTTCCATAAGGCAGAGTAAGGTCAATCCAATTTTTTTTTTTTTTTTTAAAGTGCTGTGTTAAACTAAACGTGCCTGAACGACGCTGTACAGGTATTTCACTTTGCGTTCTTCTGACAAACTTTTAAATACTAAGTACGGTACTTAAAGGTTCAGTCCACTCAAAACTATTTTGAAAAAATAAGAGCACTAAATTCTCTGACAGCTTGTTTTATCTTTCAGGAACTGTTTGTAAGATCTCTGTACTTGAGTCTGTGGTAGATTTACTAAAACTTGTGCACTCAGAAGCTGATTGGCTACCATGCACAGCTGAACCAGATTCTAACTTCAGCTTGTTCAAATAAACGTTGGCGATAAAACATGGAATCTGATTGGTTCTATGCAGTGCTGCACCAGATTTTGCATTCTCCAGTTTTAGTAAATAAACCCCTGTGGGGCTTCATACTTAGAATGGCCAGTATGAGGAGTTCCTGGTTTTTTTCTTGTTTTTTTTTTTCCAGAAGGTTATTTTTTGTATATGAAGAAGAATGCAATGGGAGGTGCTGAAACACCCAAAGGTGGACAGGGACATCTAAAAGTCCTTGGTAGACAACAGAGTTGAGAATTATAGCCAGGAGATCTCACTGTTTTTACCTAAGACATATGGTATAAACAGCCAGGAGCTGGTCCTGTCCACCAAGCTAAATCTAAGAAGTGAAACATTCCTGTGAATGAGCTAATCCTTCACTTTTAGGCTGTGATGTACTATGTGAGATGCTAGCCTCTAAAGCTGGCCAGCTTAAGACTTTTTATAGTCCCCATGGATTTGCATGTATGCATGCCTATTCTATAAAACCATGCAAAGCGCATCAGCGATTGTACAAAATCCAATGAACCCATAGCAACCAAAAACCATCGCTGGTCTAAGCAGAAATCCAATTTAATGTTACTTTCACAATTGTTTTATTTGGAAGGCTGCAGCCAGGTTGCATGACCGTTTTTTTCAGCTGTGACTTTGGCTATGAGTTGCTTTTTATTCTCTAAGCTTTATGCCTTTTTCTGTCTCGGCAGACTGGAAGTTTCTCGAGTTGGTCTGACACTTTCCTTAGTGAGGATACATTTTCTAACACACTAAACAGTCTAGAGGAACAGACAAGTGAGTTCTATAGTTTGGAAGAGAGCCTGTCTTGTAAACTGGCCTCTCCAAATAAAGTTGTTGTCTTGGAACCTAATCCTGTGCTGGCAACCCTGGATGTCATCCCAGAGTTTTCTGAAACATTAGAGCTAATTGATCCGGTGAGTAGTTTTGAGATGGAATTGGGTAATAGGGGCATTGCTTTTTTGCACATGAAATAACATCAATTGCATTGTTGGTGATTCAACTTTTGGGGTGGAATGTTTTTTTTATCCACCAATAACAAAATATTGGAGTACTGTCCTGGAAGTCTAATGTTGTGAAAATGTAAAGGGTAGTCCAATTGTTTGATTTATTTGGAGCTGAGAGGCATGATGTCACATTGCCAAGGTGATGGAAGTTGGATGGATGTAGAGAGTGACTCCGTGCAGGGATCTCCACTAACTGTTGGGGGTTCTGCTTGTCCTGGCCTGCCAATCACAGCCATCATCACGATCTGGCAACACCTAGCACGGGGGCCCTAAGAGGTGATTGAGAAACTGAAATGTACTGACACTGTATGGAACTTTTTGTGCCAGTACAAATGTGCATTCCAATTTCCTTTGGGTTTTTCAGACTTCAGTTAAACAGAATATTTATGTGCGGTCCTTACCACGAGCCTCTGAACTCCTAAATGAATAACTCCTGACCCCTGAACTCTGCATTACTTCTGACCTCCCACACTACAAGCCATACAATGTGAAGCCACGTTTTTTTTTATTGGCTATGCTTCAGGACACCTTCATGGTGTCCCCTTCTACCTATACTTTCATATCTTGGTGCCTCTTTGTTTATTTTGTCTTTATAGCTTGAATGTCTGATTATGACCAATCGGTTAATGGCATGTTAAAGAGTGGGTGTGGGTTTGTTGCTATGTCTACAAATGGGAGGATGATTTTCTAGGTGTGGAAAATCTGGTAATCTTGCTTTACTTGCCTTATTTTTGCATCAAAATTGCCCAGTTCAACCACCAGATGCGTAGTCACTGGAGTTTTAGCTTACACTAGTCGGTTCAGCTTTGTCACATTCTCCTTTTTATATACAGAAGTACAGGGTATTTTTTTTTTTTTTTTTTTTTTAATTCAGCTCCCATCACTGAACAAACGAAGCAAAGGAATTAAAGGAAAAGGTTAATATATGCTGGAGAGTGATGGGGAAGCAGACCTGTTGATTTGGACCAAATAGAAATATCAGTTTGACTTAAAGCAGAGTTCCACTCAAAAGGGGAAGTTCCGCTTTTCTTCCTCCTGGGGGAGGGAAATTCAATAAAGCTGCTGTACCACTTTTCTGATGTTCAATCTTCTTTCCAAATTCATGAAGCATTTGCCACACTTTTGGTTTTGACAGCCACTTGTGTGCCAAATTCAGATAGTTCTTAAATGCACCACTTTGACATTGTGCCACACTGAATGTTCCAAATGTAAAAGTGGAGCTAATTAAGACCAACTCTTTTAGGATACAGAGAGAAAAATGGCTCAGACAGATTTTGGGAAAATGTCTCAAGTGAATTCTAAAAGTGGAGCAGCATGAGTCAAATTCAATTCGGGTACATGTCTGTGCCAGTCTTTATGAATTCCAGGGCTTATTCCTTAAGTTTCTAAAGTTTAGGGTTTCTATTACTTGATCAATTTTGGACACCTAATTGTCATGAAAGCATGAAATTCACTTATGCACATTCTGGATGGCTGAAACTTTTCTTCCAATGCCAGTTTCAGTGGATTAAAACATGATTTTGTACTCAAATTGCACAAGTTCCTTTTTATGGTTTTGCTGTTTATAAAATAGGATTTAGATATCGCTCACCACCACTTGCATCTCTGTTTCTTAGTTGTTTAAAAAAAGTGTTCATGTACTGTATATAATAGAATTTGTTTTATTATTGTAACCCAAAAATGGAAATTGTACAAATATATTTACTTAAATGTTTTCCATCCAAACAGGATCCCACTCCATGGGGTGAAATTACGAATGCTGAGGCATCCATTGACGTTACTTCTATCAAACACACTCCAGAAAAAAATGGTTCGGGTTTTGCAAGAGTCCTCACAGGATAGCAGTTCTGAACTTATTGATGTGGTGACTGTTAGTGAGGACAGTAAAGTGTCATTAACATCTTCCATTTCACACATCAACACATCAACATATATTTTGAAGAAAGGTCAGCAGAGGCTACCCTTTGCTACAAAAGGGAACGATGTCTATGAGGCCAACAATACCGTGCTGAAAAATACTCCAGTCGAATCCATCCCATTTTCCCCATCACAGGTTGGTACACTCATTGCTGTTGAATGCTTCCAATGGTTTTTTATGTTTGTTCTGGCTTCTTCTGGTCCCTGTTGCCTCCAAGACTGAGATCTGAGTGATCACACTGCTGATCACTTAGCTCTTGGTCTTCAGCCTGCTGAGAGCCCATTGACTGTCAGTCACCGGCTCTCTGCTCTGCCCCTCTAGTACTCACTGGAGCGCTGGGCTGTTTTGGGGGAAGGGGCACCTAGCTCAGGCTCTTAGCAGCTCGCTAAGAGGCTGAGCCATTGCCAGTCGAGGCAGCTGGGTGGATCCCGACTTTAAAGTCAGGATCTTTCTTGAGCCTGAACAGGCTGTGATGTCAGCCCACAGTGGGCTTTAGCCCACTGTAGGCTGAAAATGGGTCACGGGTGCAGAACAAACTGTACTTCTTCTGTGATCCATAAAAGAAACATAGCAAAAATAGCTTTGGCTATATTTTCCCTTTTAATTTCTGCTTTAATGGACCCCTGGTCTACTAGTTAAGCCATTGCTTGTTTGCATGTGTTTCTATGTTAAAGAAATCCGACTGTGTTCCAGTGGAACAGGGTTGATGTGAGCGATTTAGCACTTATATTGGGTATTCAAATAAAATGAGCATACAATAGTAATTTCAGTAGTCAATCCTGTTGTATTTTCCTTTTCCTTGTACTGAAATGATTTTGTGCAAGAATGACAAATATACATTTTTTGACCATGACTGAAATGTATGTATTTGTAGTTCTTCAATGTCTGTCCGGGCAATATACAGGAACCGTTCAATCTTGAAAATCCTGCTTTTACTTCTACTCCAATTTGTGGCCAGAAGTATCTAACAACTCCTCTGAGGAAACAGATGACCTCTGTAGAGGACAAAGAAAATATTGGGTAGGTAATCACATGCTTCATTTTTACAGCCTTTAAGTGGTTTGCAGGGTGGGGTGGAAACCATATTGGTGGAAGTTCAAGCTATTAGGAAACCTCATAATTCCTAGATGCACTCCTTGATGACCTCAATTACAAGCAAAGGTATTGGAGATTGTTACACATTGCACCCTACAAACGTGATATGTAACATGCTCAATAACGCGAGCTTGTTCTTTCATTTTGCTCTCTAAATCTTAACCTCGGTCTCTAAAAATCAGCACATACATTTTGGGGACCTGAAGCTCTTGGTACCATTAGCTCCCCTTGCTGTGCTGAGACCTAAATGCACTTGGATCTTGGTGCTGAAAACCACGGTCTGTAACCTGATACTAATTCAAGGTAATTTGGGTCCTGAAGTTCTGTGTTAAGGGTGCTTAGTGTGTGTTCCTGCAAATTACTAAGTAAAAAAAATGCATTGAGACATTTGGTAGAGCTGACCGCTTGGTAAAAGAGGAGTTAATATAAAAGCTTTGGTGCCAGTTCTTAAAGCAGCCAGAGACCTTACCCTGGCCATACTGCTGTTCTAAAAAATATAAAATGCTTTTGGCACTTTTTGTAAAGCATAGTCAGGCACTGTAATTGTAAGAGTAGGAAGAGCCCAGTCATAGTTCCTTCCCTGCGTCATATGACCAAGCTCTTTTTCTATCATGTCTTGTCTTCCCTCCAGCCCGCACACCACCCCCCATTGACTTCTCCATCACATCCAACAACGCCACCATCAAACCTGCCCCGCAGGGCAGAGTACTTGGTGTCATTCTGGACTCCAACCTATCCTTCCAGCCCCAAGTCCAATCTTTAACAAGCTCGTGCAGACTCCACCTCCGCAACATCGCCAAAATACGCACGTTCCTAACCCCAGAAACCACTAAACAGCTCATCCACTCCCTCATCATATCACGACTCGATTAGTGTAACTCCCTCCTTACTGGCCTGCCTCGCCGCTGGCCATCCCCACTTCAGTCGATCCTGAATACGGCTGCCAGACTCATTCACCTTACCAACCGCTCCATTTCCGCCACCCCCCTCTGCCAATCCCTCCACTGGCTTCCAATTGCGCAACGGATCAAATTCAAAATCCTAACACTGATGTACAAAGCCGTCCACCATACTGCCCCGAATTACATCACCGACCTAATATCCAAGTACCACCCAGCACGCACACTCCGCTCCTCACAAGACCTCCTTCTCTCTAGTTCCCTGGTCTCCTCCTCCCATGCCCGCCTCCAGGACTTCTCCAGGGTGTCACCCAACCTCTGGAACTCCCTGCCCCAACCCATCAGATTATCACCTACTCTCCTCTCCTTTAGGCGCACCCTGAAAACCCACCTCTTCAGGGAAACATACCCCACCCCCTGCTAACTTGCCAACCTCCTCCACTCTTCCTACCACCCCATCCCCCACAGCTATCTCCTCCTGTGCTACCATCCCCTCCCACCTAGATTGTAAGCTCGAAAGAGCATGGCCCTTGATCCCCTCATGTTTTGCATTGTATTGTTGTTGTTCTATCACATGTTCTGTCCCCCTTTGTAATGTACAGCGCTGAGCGAACTATTGGCGCTTTATAAATACTGTATAATAATAAAATAATATCATGAAGTGTTCCCTACAATGTTGTGACAGAACACTTTGAAATAAACTTCAGGACCTACACCGCAGACTGCATTTTATGAATGACATGTAGCTACCCCCCAGGGAGCCGCTTGGTAATTTGAGTTCTCTGTGGCTTCGACTCCAAGAACAACTTCTGCCCATCTGATGCACCTGGTTGAGTAAAATCGCTGCAAGCACACAAGTATAGATATCTTTATCTTGGCTGTAAATTAGTACCAGGAATTAGACACAAGAATGTTTAGTGGTAAATTAACTCAATGTATTGGTGCGAGTTAGAGTAAATGATGGTATGAGCATACAATAGGTAGTTTCAGATAGTCTGATAGACACAGTATAATCACTATGCCAGAGTAACTTAGAATAGAGTTTTGTACCACTAGACTAGAATCAATTCCTAAATCAGCAAAGTCATCACACTATATCCTGGTCATTCTTAGAGTGCATGCCAAGCCAGTTACAGTATTCTCTTATCCATACAGCAGTTATTGTACGGATAAGAATACTATAACTGGCTTGGCATGCACTCTAAGAATGACCAGGATATAGTGTGATGTTCCGTGAGAGATACCTCTTGGCACAAGTAATAGGTAAATGTCTGTGTAACAGCTGTAAAGGGGCAGTCTTGAGTCCGAACTCTCAGCTGGTTATCGTTGAGGCCTACTTGTACCGTTGGTGCACATTAGAATAGTCCCTGTCAAACCTGTAGGCTGCAAAAAGGCTACTAGATATCTGTATAGTCCGTTCCTAAAGGGCTTAATCTCCAAAGTAGCAGATAGTAAATCCCTACAGCAGCAGCTGACCAGTCCCAGCAATATTACAGCTCACCATCTGGTCAAACCCAGTCCACCCTCTGGTCTGTCTCTGGCTGTCGGCACCCCCGAATTCAGCACTCTGGATCCCACTTAGGCAAATAAACAGTAGTAATTGTGCACACTCCAGTTTCCCTCAAGGCAAGAGAGTTTTATGTTTTGTACAGCAGGGGAAAATGCATCTCTCTCCCCTCCTCCTGGTAATCTCTTGGGGGAATGTAGTTCAAAAGCTCTTGATTACACAGAGTATTTCTTCAGGACTACAGTTCACACAATGCAGTGCTCCCTGACTCAGTCTATTGAACTCTTCCTCCTCAGCAGCTCCCTTCTTCACTGATAAAGCTGTTAACCAATTCAGCACTGCAGTGCAGCTGCAGCCAGTGTTTCTCTCACTCTACATTCTTAGCCAAGCACCTGGCTACAGCTATAAGATAATGTGCATTGCAGAGCTAATGCTGAAATCTCCTGGATGTAGTGTTTTATATGATTTAGTGTTCAGCTCATGTTTTTGCTGTAGTTGTTTTTAGTTCATTAGTCCTCACTTTCCCAAAATAAAGGGAGCTTAATACACTTGTACTGATGGTCATGTGCTATGCTTTCATGCAACTTTATGCCTTTATTTAGGAGCTGTACTAAATCTGCTCTCATGGGCATAAAGGGAGCGTTGCTTTAGCTTGTATCTGTAATAATCTGTTTTGACACAAATTGCACTCAGCCGCTTCATATTGTATTGCCATTTTTTTCAGGGTTTCTTGAATTGTTTTGTTATTTATTGATTATAGATTTCGAACACCAACTATAAGGAGGTCTTTGAGTACAACTCCCAGAACACCAACACCTTTTAAAAATGCTCTAGCTGCCCAGGAGAAAAAATATGGTCCATTAAAAGTTACAGTATGTGTTAATGTTTACTTTTTGGTACAATTTTTGTCACTTAATTGTTATATATTTCACATGCAATGAACCATTGATTTGCAGGAATACGAATCACGCTAAACAATTTAAATAATGGAAAATAGCTTTTTCTCCAGAAAAGGTATACAATAGACCACCAAAGTCATTGTGGCATTTTTGTGTTAGTGTATGTAAACACTGATTGTGTGTGTGTGTGTATATGTATGTATGTATATATATATATGTATGTATGTGTGTATATATATATATATATATATATTTTATATATATATATATATATATATATTTATATAACATACGTACATACATTTAAAAAAAAAAAAGTACACATTGGTTTGTTTCCAAATTTAAAAAGAGAAAAAAACACAAAACTTTTTTGACACCCAAGGACCTATCCACACACTGTGTGTAGGAAAAGTGCTCTTGGTAATTCAGGGGACATGCCAACATTGCTAAGCACTGACCTCCTGCTTCCCCTGCAATAATGCCTGGTAATGTGAAAGGGAGTAATTTAAAGCTGATTCTCTCTACAGCAGGGATGTCATTCAAGTTCATTGAGGGTCGCATCAACCTTAAGGTTGCCCTCAAAAGGCTGGTTGTAAGACTAGATGTCCAGAGTACCCCACCCCAATTTACATCAGATATCAAGAGCCCCCCACATCAGAAGTCGAGTCCCCCACCCTCCTTGCATTGTATTGCACTCCCCTTACCTTGTGCTGTTGCTGGGAACCAGAAAATGCAGGGTCTGGAGGAGGACCAGAGGAGGCCTGGCATTTGCTGAATGCTGAGACCAGGGGAAGTAGAGAAGAGAAGGTGCTGCTGCTGCATAGAGAGGCCCAGGATCTGGCGGAAAAATTCTGTTCTTCTCTCTGTTTGAGACTGCTGAGAATAGGTAGGGGTGGGAGTACCACAGCTGCAGGAAAGGTGCAAGGGTCACATAAAATGGCCTGGCAGGCCGGATTTAGCACAAAGACCTTGTGTGTTTGATACATGTGCTCTACAGGTTATAATGTGAATAAAATAATGCAGCAACATGCTCTAGAGGGTGGAAGGTAGCTCTGGGGGTAAATGTGTAGAATTACACTTAAGCATATGTAGATGATCTGATTTTACAAACTCATTTGCGAACTGCTAATTTTGGTGATCGGTCCAACCAGTCTGTAGCTGGATCTGCTTTGTTGTCTTATTGTGATCCTTTAACATGATGTTCAATATTTGTATATGCTATACAATATACTGCATAATTAAAATCTGTCTTTTATTGTACATTTTCAGTCACAGCCTTTTGCTTATCTCGAAGAAGATATTCGAGAGGTCCTCAAGCAAGAGACTGGAACAGATATCTTCATTAAAGATGAAGACGATCCAAATTATAAAGTGGAAAGAGGGGTAAAATAGAATCTTATTTTTTTACTGTGCCATGAGTGCATCACAAACTAAAACTGATGTAGGTAGTGGATGCTGGTTGGCCAACAAACCAAATTTTTCTTCTTACATCTGACTCCAGCTGGACTCCTTGGTTCTGGCCACCATGGAGTTTTACTCTATCAGCTGCAAGAGGAGATCTTTTTTTTTTTTTTTTTTTTTTTCCCCCCCTCCCTACAGTGTCTGTCCTATAACAATGAGGACAGTAAGTAGTAGTGAAAAAAAAACAACTGCAGATGCCTCAACTTTTTGGTCCAAGAGATATAAAAAGCTAGTAGGTGGTAGCCTGCAAGCATCTAATATTAAATGTCCTATTTTAACAACATTACTTTGATTTTTTTTTCCAGCATCTTTCTGCTTTTAAAAGAGTCAGAAAGTCGTTAATTCTTGATTGGGAGAAAGAGGGTATTGGGCTCTTGTCAGAAGTTGGAGTTTCTAATATAAAGGTACATTTTATGTGTAGGATCTAGTGTTAACTGTTTTGTAGCTGTTATATGTGTGACATGATTTTACACAATACAAATGTTTTGCTGCTATTGCATGGCTGTCTGCTTTTGTGTGGAGTGGTATAATTTTGTATTAATGACTCCTGGCAGACAAGCAGCACAACTGCAATTGATCTGGTATCTTTTTTTTTTTTTTTTTTTTTTTTTTTTATTAGCTCTGTTCATCTGTACTGTTGGCCCTTTCCCTGTCATTGAAGTCTGAATTGCCAGCCCAATTTTAGCATTGTTAGCATATGTCAGGCAACTTTTATTTATAACTTTATTTTTTTTTTTTTTTTTATAGAATTCATTGGTTCAATACTGTAATTGTATCTGACAATTGCAGTATCAAACAGACATACTGATATCTTTAAGATTCAGCAGTGTCCAAAATTTATTTTTTTTTGTTAAAGCTTGCATATAATCACCATGCCATAGCTGTCAAAGGGACCATGACTGGGAACCAGTTTGACCACAGTTTAAAAAAAAATTCAAAGTAACTATTAAGTTATTAGTAACAAAGTGAAATTAATTACAGAAAGCTGTCTGCTATTAAGATTGCAACACATGTTAGTCTGATTTTTTCCATTCTCCTCAGCTGTACCAACACTTATATAGTGGCTGGCCTACCGAAAAACCCATTCAGTTTTGTATCCAACCAATTCAGCCTTATGCACTTTACTGTATAGTTGTCAGTAATAATCAGTAACAGGAAGTGAAGAGAAATCTACCTAATGAGACAAAGGGCAAAATAAACAGAGGTTTTTCTTCATTTCGTACTCTATCAAAATCTAAAATAAAGTGTTGGCTTTACACGCTCGGTGGCTCCAGAAATAGGCTGAGGCTGAAGTTCTTCCACTTAGTCTGTTATCTTGAGGACTAAACAAATCTGAAAATAGATAGAAAGATCTATTTTAAGAGCTAATAATCACGTTCTTAAAAATCATGTAATGCTACAGACCCTTGTTTTAGAGAAATTGACCGGTATGTAAATCTAAAGTGTATGTAAATCCTAACAATGAGCTTATCTTATTGCTGCCTTTTGGTCTGCTAGTTATATCATTTGAAATTGTTTTGTTTTATCTGTTCTAGAAATGCATAAAGTACCTGTTGGATTTTGCTAAAATATTTTGAATGTATAGCTTCATGTGTGGTCTGTACTGTTGTCTTCTTGGTTACTATTTGTCCCAATTCATCTCTGTGGGCTACAGAACACCTTTCTGCCATGGAAGGGGGTTTTTTTTTTTTCACCCCAAACGTTGAGGAACTCAGCTTGATTATAAGCAACTTCGTGTTATGCTGCTGCCTACTAGAGAAATGGACACTAGGTATATAGGAAATTTGAAGACCAGCTCCCCTGAGGTTATAACCTCTCCTAACATACCAGATCTGTTTTGCTTAGTGCCCATAGGAGAATAAATATCTTTTCTCTCCGCTCCTACATGCTTTGAGCTTGGGTAACTTTAAATGTTCATGGCAAACCAAGAGTTGTGAATAAATCTTCAGCTGCCTGTAGACCCATCTCCACAGGTTCCATCAGGTGTGGGGAAGGTGTTGGGGGGAGTTGGGAGTGGATGACTGATGGCTTGTGCAGAGATTTGCAAAGCTTGCATAACCAAACCATGTGTGTAGGAGGTAGTTTCACTTCTTTCCTTCTCTTTTCTTTGTGTCTTCCTGTGTATCAGTAATGTCTGACAGACATTCAGTCATTCAGGGATTGTTGTTTCAGTAGGTTATATTTTCATTGCCCCCAGACTAAAGGTTGCAAAATTTTTACTCAAATCTGTTTATAGTTTAAAGTTCTGAAACCCAAAGGAAGCATTCATTACCTTTTTTACATGTTCTCAAAAGTTTGGAGAATCTAATTGGTAATTGCCTACCTTCATCACTGAAACTTCTTGGCTTCCATTGGACTAATGGAAGCGTATCTACAAATTACTATTTTTGTAGACCAATAGTGATACTTTTTTTTTTTTCTACTTTTTGCAATGTGTGATAATTTGTGACCAGGGGCGGACTGACCATTTGGAAATTCGGGCACTGCCCGGGGTCAGTAGGGGGCCCCATGAGATGCCCCTGGTACCTTTTTCATAGGCTTTTTTGAGTTTGGGCAAGGACACAGGGGCTCCATGATCCCCTATTGCCTGGGGGCCCTATGAGTTGTCAGTCCGCCCCTGTTTGTGACCCTTTCCTTTTTGTCTTGCTTTGACCCCAAAGGTTTTTTTTTTTTTGTTTTTTTTTGCAGTCCTCTGTCCTCTCTGCTTCAGACTGAGGTCTTTCTGTTCCAGGTGAAGTTGAGGAAAACTGCAGAGGTTGAGCAACTCCAGTCTCCTTGTGGAGCTAAATGCGTGTACTGGGTTTATGGTATCCACTTTTGCCAAATTCCACTCAAGTGGCTTGCAGTAGGACCTTATTATATCATGGAACAAATCAAGTCTATCTCTAAACAAGGTGATTTGACTACATTCAAGAACCAAGATGTTTGTCATGGTGGATTCTGTCCTCTGCATTGTCAGCAGGTGTTTTTTCCCCTCCCTTTTTATATTGGAAAATTTGTCATAACAGTCTTCTGAGTTGTGGCAAAGTGCTGGACCCTCACTGTTATGGGTTGTTGGTCTACCCCCTATCTATGTCTTTCCTTTGCTGAAGCTATTACTTTGTCTACTTCAGAGGATTGTGGCATAGGGTTCATAAGTCATTCCCATTACTCCTGTTTGGGTACAGAGAGTTTAATATGTTGACCTCGTTCATCTGTCAGCCTACACTCCATGGCCAGATTTGTACCCTCCAGAACCAATCTTCCTCTGTGCTTCTCACTTGCTGGCTTTGACGGCCTGCCTGTTGAAACCTAAGTTCTGAGGGCCAGTAAAGTTTTGGATTTGGTTATCCCAACAATGTTCAAAGTTCATAAATCTTTTACTTATAGGGTTTCTCATCAAACATGGAAGACTTTGATTCACTGGTGTGATCCTCTGGTGGTTTCTCCACAAGCCTTTTCAGTCTGGAGGGTAGAACAATGCTTGGTCCCTAATATCAAGGTCTGCCCTGTCTATTATTTTTATTTATTTATTTATTTATCGAGTTTATATAGCGCCAAAGGGTTTGCTCAGCGCTGTACAATAGGGGGGGACAATACATGAAACAGTACAGTAACATCAAACAGCACACAAGGGGTAAGAGGGCCCTACTCTTTTGAGCTTACAATCTAGGAGGGAGGGGGTAGAGGTACAGGAGGAAATGGCTGTGGGGGATGGAGTGGTAGGAGGAGGGAAGGGCAGCGGCTGTTAGGTGAGGGTGGGGTAGGCTTCCCTGAAGAGGTGGGTTTTCAGGGAGCGCCTGAAGGTGAGGAGGGAAGGTGACAGTCTGATGGATTGGGGTAGTGAGTTCCAGAGGATGGGGGAGGACCTGGAGAAGTCTTGCAGTCGTGCGTGGGAGGAGGAGACCAGGGAGCAAGATAGAAGGAGGTCCTGTGAAGAGCGAAGGGTACGGGTAGGGTGGTACTTGGGAATCAGGTCGGTGAGGTAGTTAGGGGCAGTGTTGTGAATGGCTTTATAGGTCAGAGTGAGCAGTTTGAATTTAATGCGTTGGGCAATGGGGAGCCAGTGGAGGGAGAGGCAGAGGGGGGTGGCAGAGGTGGAGCGGCTGGTGAGGTGGATGAGTCTGGCAGCTGAGTTCAGGATGGTCTGAAGCGGGGAGAGTTTGCACTGGGGTAGGCCGATGAGGAGGGAGTTGCAGTAGTCCAGGCGTGAGATAATCAGGGAGTGAACGAGTAGTTTAGTGGTGTCTGGGGTAAGGAAGGAGCGTATTTTGGCGATGTTGCGAAGGTGGAGCCTGCATGTATTTGTGAGTGATTTGACATGAGGTTGGAAGGAAAGGTTTGAGTCCAGAATGACGCCAAGGACCTTGGCTTGCTGGGCGGGATTGATGGTGGTGGTGTTGGTAGTGATGGAAAGGATGGGGGGGGGGGGCACGGGAAGGGGGAAAGACGAGAAGCTCGGTTTTGGAGAGGTTGAGTTTGAGGAAATGGAGCGACATCCAGTCAGAGATGTCGTTTAGGAGGTGAGTGATGCGGGCGGAGAATGTGGGGGTGAGGTGAGGGGTGGATAGGTAGATTTGAGTATCATCAGCATAGAGGTGGTAGTTGAAGCCGTGGGAGTGTATGAGTTTGCCAAGGGAGGAGGTGTAGATGGAGAAGAGAAGGGGTCCAAGGACAGAGCCCTGGGGGACCCCAACAGAGAGGGGGAGGGAAGAGGAGGTGGCGCCGTTGTAGGAAACGCTGAAGGAGCGTTGGGATAGATAGGTCTATTATTTTTCATTCTCGTCCTGACTTACCATAAGGTAGCCTTCCTTGTCATCACTAGGGTTTGAGTTGTCAGTATTGTTCTCTAGGGACCCTCATTTAACAAGACAAAGTTGTTGTAAAACTAAGGACTCCTTTTTACTCAGTGATCTTTGCTTTTCACC